TTTTGGAACTGGGTTTTGATAATCTTCGTAAGATCTGAAAAGGGTTGCTGAAAATTCATTCCTTTTTATTTGATTTGATTTAATTAAATTAAATTTCTTTCTCTCTCTCTCTGTACTATTTTATTGGTATTTCATTTTCTACGTTTTTGGTTCCTTGCCGGAGGCTGGCTGTCTCCATTTTCTCCTGCAACTGGGTCTTTTATATTGCCGTTGAAAACGCTAATTAAAGCAATAATTAAGGTCTATTTCAAACCCCTCTTGTCATTTGATTATTAATCATCCACTTAATTACGCTTTTTTTTAATTACTTTGTTTAAGATTTTTTTTTTAAAAAAAGAAAAAGATACTATCATTCATTACTGATTTATGATTTGGCTATTTTGGCAATCATTGTCCTCCGCCGTTTCAGTCGGTGGTTTTTGGCCGGAATAAAAATCGCTTTAGATTCGCTTCTCGGAGGTTGACGGCGGCGAAGCAATGGGAATGAAACGAGGGAAGATGTTTAAGGTAAGAGTTGATTTTTAAGGATGGAGGTTGAATTTCCGACTTGTCCGTTTTTGGGTTTTGCTTATGTTGTTTTGTCGACTTGTTTCTCCGCCGTAGTCGTCGTGGCCAAGGGCTGTTGCAAGGAAGTGGCTCAATTTTCCGGCCGATAAGCAAGCTTTTCCGTCCGATTTCGTTGCCCAAGGTAAATCAGTTTAGATAAATCTTCAAATTTTTAAAGGAATTGATAGGTAATTATTTAAACTTTCTATTATGTATAATAAATTCTTAACTCATTAAAAAAATTGATCTATTATATTTTAATTTTAATTTTATGACATTTTGAACTTAATTTTGTATCGAATAAATTGATAAAAACTATAAAAAAAAATATTAAAATTACTAATTGGTTTCGGTTTGGTTCTGATCAAATAAATTATTCATTGGATTTGTCGTTTGGTGTTTGGTTAAATAGAGAGGAGGAAGAGCTGCTCCGATCTAGACAGCTGCGCCGTCGTGCCGGAAGATATCGGAGGTAATGTTTTGCTGTGCATCGACACCGTAATAATTTTCTACAATCTCAGGCTGCTTTCAACCGTCAGATCAATTTACCTGATTTGATCAGGGGACAATAAGTGAAAAGACTTTTAGTTAATAACTCATCATGAAAATAGGGTTAAAAACTCTGCTATCTTAGGGATCAGTGCCACGTGGACGGTGGAAAATGATGGTGCAAGATTTAGTGTAGTTTGACTTTTTCGTGATGGTCATTGTTCTTTAATGTTTTTATCTCGACGTGTTCGTTTGTGATTGCTTCTTGAATTTCTAGTTGAAAGGAGGTCAATAGAGAAGACACGTGGACTTAGAGTTAACCCCAGCTGCAGTGAATCTCTCGACTTGAGGTAATTAATTTCATTTTTTCAATATTATTGTATTATTTTACTGTCTAATTTTTAAATATTTTTTAAATTTGACTTTGTTTTTAGATTATCAAATATATAAATGTATTTTTGAAACCTAGAATAATATAATAAAATTTAAAATTCGAATAAAAATAACATAAAGTTTTTTCGACGCCATAATTATTGAATATTGATTTGAATTTGATCGAGAAAATTAGGATGCTTGTGGGGACATGGAATGTTGGAGGAAAGGCACCAAATGAAGGCTTGAGCTTGAGAGATTGGCTCAATTCACCGACCCCAATTGACATTTATGTCCTTGGGTAAGCTTCTCACTTTTTATCTCTAAATGTTATCTCGGTAGCCACATTTGATCGAAGCTCCCCAAACCAACATGTTTGAATTTTTAGTCTCAAAGACCTGTTTGATAACTAATTTATATTTTATTTTTGTTTTATCCAACCATTATTTAAAACCTAAAATAAGTTTTTAAACTGTTTTTTATTTATTTAATTTTCGAAATTTGACCTTATTTTTAACCAAAAAAAAAAAATATATATATATATATATATATATATATAAGTAGAAATTGAGATTATAAAATTACTTAAAAAAAGAGTGAAATGATTTCCTAGAATTGTGGACCTGAAGGGTCGTTTCATGCCCATACCTAACTTACTGGCCACCAACCCCTATCTTATCTAGCTCTATCCCCTCACGCGCCGCCGTGAAAGTCAACTTTGTTTGTCAGTTAGTTTTTGTGGTTAATTGATTACTTTTATATTTGTTAATAGGTTCCAAGAAATCGTGCCTCTAAACGCAGGCAATGTGCTTGGGGCGGAGGACAGTGGGCCGGCTGCCCAATGGCTATCCCTCATCCACCAAGCGCTCAACACCGACGGCATCGGTTCTCCGACATCAAACAACCAGCAGCAAGCACCCCAGAAGCCACGGCAGAGTTTCTCGGACTTGCTCGCTTTAGAAGACGACAATTGGAGTGGCGAAACCGGGATGTGCACGCCGTGTAATAAACCAATGCGGCGGCGACAGTATTGCCTTGCAGCAAGCAAACAAATGGTGGGCATTTTCTTGTGCGTGTGGGTTGAAGCGGATCTTTACAAACACGTCTTGAATTTGAAAATCTCCAGCGTTGGGAGAGGCGTGATGGGGTTTCTTGGAAACAAGGTGAGCCACTGCCCACCATTGTATTGAAAGAAACTCGAATTGTGGAATGATGTTTTGTGGTGCATTGATAGGGATCTGTGTCTATCAGCATGACATTGCACGGAACAAGCTTTTGCTTTGTGTGCACACATTTGACCTCTGGGGAGAAGGAAGGGGACGAGTTGAAAAGAAACTCTGATGTGAGTGAAATTTTGAAGAAAACTCGGTTTTCACATTCCTGCCGAGCTACTTCTGGAGCTCACCCACTCCCTCCTGAGACCATATTGGACCATGAGTAAGTTTCTTTTGCTTTCTTCTTAATAATGACTTTAGAGATGTTCACGTGGTAGGGGAGAGACGAAAAAACTTTTATTTTTTAGGGATAGGGACGGAGATTCTCCATAGGAATTCATGAGAATTGTGTTTCCACTAGGATGGAGATGGATGTGGGGCTGGGCGGGGTTGGAACAGGAATGGAGAGTGTAATCCCCAACCTCCGCCTACGCCCCGTTTAGATAACAGAGACAAATCTCTCTTCGCTCCCTTTTCTATTATCCGTTTTCTTTGCTCAGTTTGGAATGGATCATAGTGTTTAATGAACATAGTGTAAGATCCCAAATCGGTTGGAGAAGGGAATGAATCATTCTTTATTTATAAGGGTGTGAAAACCTCTTCTCAGTAGACGTGTATTCGAAAGGGGTGGATTGTGAGATCCCACGTTGGTTGGAGAGGAGAACAAACCATTCGGTGTGGAAACGTCTCCCTGGCAAATGCATTTTAAAACCATGAAAACAATCCGTAACGGACTAAAACAAACAATATTTATTAGTGGTGTGGTTTGAGCTGTTACACATCTGTATAGATTGCTCATGATGAAACTTGTGCTTCTAACAATGATTTATATGCAGTAAGGTCGTCTGGCTCGGGGATCTGAATTATCGGCTATCGACAGGCTGCGGGGAAACATATGAGCTTCTTAGGAACAATGATTGGCAGGCACTTCTAGAGAAGGACCAGGTGAGTTTGAGTTTGAGTTTGAAGTAGAAGTTTGGCAGAAGATTTGGAAATCTAAATTCTTTGATATGATGTTTTGGCAGCTAAAGTTAGAGCAGAGGGCTGGTCGAGTGTTCAAAGGGTGGGAAGAAGGACGAATAGAGTTCGCTCCAACTTACAAATACATCACCAATTCTGACCATTACGTTGCATTGACCTCCAACTCCAAGCCATCCAAAGAGAAACGCCGCACTCCAGCTTGGTAAGTTACCCAATTGGAGCTTCTTAACCTGCAAAAAGGAGAAGCTTTTCTCATCGGTTTCTTTTTATGGCCACTTTGTAGGTGCGATCGGATATTGTGGAGAGGGGTTGGAATGAAGCAGCTGTGGTATGTACGAGGGGAGTGCAGATTCTCAGATCACAGACCTGTTTACTCTCTGTTTTCACTCCAAGTCGACTCGGCAGCCACCAACTCGATCAAACCGTCGATCAACGCTGCCTTGCCATCATTATGTGCAGCAGCCAAAATCCAAGCTGAAGAGCTGTTGCTCAAGGCGGAGACCATCGACACCTCCCTCCAGTAACTCTGTAACTCGTTCTGTCACTGACCCAACAGCTGAAATTTTAAAGCTGCAAGCTCAAGACAAGCTGTCTGGCCCCCATCGATCAAGCAGCAGGTGGTGGCTGATATGGCACTTCAGTCTGCCCATTCTTTTATGGAAGATATGAGCGTCAAGCTCAAAGTTTTGGTATAGTTTTTTGAGAAATTTGTAGATATAGGACTGTGGAACGTCTATGGTAAGATTTGCCTATTCTTACATGTTTATATTTTATAGCAAGCTTCCTACAACGCTATTTTGCTTGGCTTACCTTTGATGGTTTGAGGCTGCCATGTACCGACAGGGGGAGAGGTCGGTACACGAGAATTGATAGTTTGAGGGTATTTTATAGAATTAAACCCGTAAAAAGAAAATAAGTTAAATCGAGTATAGTTCAGTAATAAGCTATTACATTATTATTTAGTATTGAAGCTCATTTGTCTCACGTGTGTTGATAGACTAAAAAAATGAAACTAAATGATTCCGACCACAATTTCATGTTAGTCTATGGTTTTTATCATCCAAAAGGTTTCAATTGTGAGATTTTTTAAATATTCTTCTATAAGCGTGTGAAAACTTTTTTCAAGTCGACGTTTTAAAACCGTGAGGTTGACAACTGTATGTAGCAGAGACAATATTTACTAGCGCCGGAATTGGATTGTTACAAATAGTATTGAACTTTTAAAAACGGCATACATCAGTTAGGGTGGATTTGAGATTTCATATTAGTTGAAGAGGAGAAGGAAACATTATTTGATAAGGGTGTGAAAACGTCTCCAAGACTTAGACACATTTTATTTTCTAATTTAGTATTTTAAAGTATAAAAATAAAATAAAATAAATTAAGAAGAAGCAAAGCTAAGGAAACATGGTTTTCTCCGATGCATAAAAATTCCGTCCTTCATCTAAAACCCTTCAAAATCCTTCAGAAGAAAAACCACTCTCTGCGATTGCCAAACTCGAACCGCTCAGCATGAACTCCTTCAACAACACTGCGAATTTTGACAACCTTCTCCTTCAAACTCTGATGGGGAGGCTCCAAATCCGGCACCCAAACAGCAACAACAATCCCCTTATCTCCCAATCCCTCGAAGACCTTCTCTTCGATGTCGCGAATCTCTCCGACGACGACAACGATGAGAACAAAACACAGCTCGCCAAAGAGGAATCGAAGCTCGAGAAAGAGATTATTCGCATCATTCTCGCCGGAAATTCCGATTCCCTAAAACCCAATTCTGGCCAAGCCGTCACGATCGGCGAGCACCACATATGTGTGGGGTTTCACGAGGAGAAGGACTCGGGATATCGAGTTTGGGAATGGCACGGCCACATTATGTTGTTTGATGAAGAAAACGGGTACACGCCGGAGTATATATATGGGAATTACTTTGAGAATCTTCAGGGGAAGTTCTACCGTGAGTTACATAAACCAAAGGAGGAAGAAGTGAAGGAAAACGAAGAGGAAGAAGAGGAGAAGGTGGGCGAATTGGGTCTTCGGGAGCTGATTAATGGCGGTGATTCGAGCGCCGGTCGTATTCTTCATCGTAATGTCAACGCCAGTTCTCAAAGGTTCCGAATACTTTACTCTCAATTTTTCTGACATTCTTTAGAAAAACATCTCTTCAATGGAGTTTTGAAATAGCCACTTGGTTTTTTATTCTCAAATGCCATTGATATATGTTTGTTCCTGATATCTTGGTATGATTTTAATTTGTATATGTCATAGAGTTATCTACCCTTCGTGAAGTTCATGGAGTAAACCATTTCTCTCTCAAGTCCTCTAGTTATTGTATGTTTAGACATTGGTTCACCTCTGTCGGTAGAGAACTATTTTCATTGATTAGGTAAACGACTTATGGATGGAAAGGTACAGGCATATCATATGTCTGTTGTTTGATGAGGTTTGGGAGTTGGCAATGTTCAATCCTCCTTGTGGGTGTCGTGGGTGTCGGTCACTACACCTTATGCATGAGATGTGTAACCGTCCAAGCACATTGCTAGTAGACATTGTCCTATTTGAGCTGGGCTTCCCCTCAAGGTTTTAAAACGTGTATGTTAGAGAAAGGTTTCGAGACCCTATGAAGAATGTTTCGTTCCCTTCTCCAATCGACGTGGGATCTCTCAATCTACCATCCTTGGGGAGTCTAGCGTCCTCGCGCGCACACCGTTCATTGTCTAGTTCTGATATGATTTGTAATAGCCAGAAACCTTGAGAGAAAGTTCAAAAGGAAAAATTTAAAGAGGACAATATATGTTCGCTGTTACAAGATGTTTATAGTTATCATGATTGTTAGTAGTTACTCCATGGTGGTAGATGGAGCTACGGAAGTAAGCAAGGACTAAAAGGAGTTTATCTAAAGCCTAACTGATAGTTTGACAGAGGAAGATGTGCGATTATTGAGTAGACATTACAATAGCAGAAGCTTAGCCACATGAAACCTCCAATTGTGATTTTCTTTGCGTCCCATTGGGATTATCCTCCACAGATGACCATTAGAACAGCCTTATATTTGGGAAACAAGAAATCTTTAGAACCTACCCGAAATGACCCGAATCCTAGATAGGTTGTCACCGATTGTCCGTATAGTTTCGAAATCGATTTCGCATCTTTTCATACTCCGAATGCCATTAAGAAAACAAGTAGTTGATACGAGAAATTTAGAACTGCCATATATTTACTTACATACTGCAAAATGTTTTTAACGAAGCAACTATTGCTAGGAAGCTTTCCACTATATTTGCACAATCTTATTGGGAGGATACGGCAAAGTTCAGGACATGGTTTACTTCTTAGGAAATTTACGATAACCCTGAATGTAAGGCCAAAGGAGGTCTTTTTGGTGCATTTGCTCATAATTGTTTCTTGCGTGCTTTAAATTCTGGAAGACCATGTAAAGGTTGCATGGTTGCTAGATTGTGCTAATTGGAAACTTGGATTCTTACGAGCCATTCCTTCTTCTGGATAACTGGGATTCGAAGCTATGCCCCCCCATACTCAGGGGCACCGATGCTGACCCCAAGGCCTTGACCCAGGTGACATTAAGGGTTTTTGGTATAAGTTTGCCTGAAGGTTCGGCATGACTAAAGAGACCCCAAACACTTACCAAGGGACTTTTAGGTTTTCCCTCTCATGGCTCGAATATGAAGGAAGACTCTATAACCGCCCAAACTCATTGCTAGCAAATATTGTCCATTTTGGCCCGTTATATATCGCTGTCAGTATCACGGTTTTAAAACGTGTCTGCTAGAAAGAAGTTTACACACCCTTATAAAGAATGTTTCGTTCCCCTCTCCAATCGATGTAAGATCTCACCGACTCAAGTCACTTTTGGACATGGACTCATGCTATTGCCATTGCTGTTAAATAGATTCACTTTCACTATTGACTTTGTTCGTGTAAACCTTGAATATTTCAAACTAGATTGAGATTGAATTTTCATATCTGCATAAAGCCACAACTCACTTACTTTTCACGATTATTAGTTTGCTGTTCTTACTTGATACTCATACATTTATTCCGATCGACAGGTTTTAGTCAGCTGAGTTGCGGTCTTTCGATCAGTAGAAGAAGTTCGGACATCGAAGAAGAACGTTGCTATGGACTACCATTTTACAGATTGCAGCTGGGTGTTCCTGCAGTTAGGACTCTGAACTTCATGTGTATTACGGGAAGTTAAGGAGATCAGTAACATTCACTCTGTTTGATGAGTTTGTTCTTGATCTTTGCTCTTTTCAGCTCACTTCTATAGTTCTACTGTGTTGTTATTTGGTCATTTCTTTATGGATTCTTTGTCGGTCAACAATTACTCTGACATTTTCTTGCAATATGATTATGTTATCCATTTTCGCTTTTTAAGAAAATTCTTAGGCTGTTTTCGAACGTTAAATTGTTTTGAGTCAATCGTGTACCTTTCTCATTCTGATGAAGAAAAGCACTTGCCCTTTGTTGGTTATTAGGGGCTGTCTTCGAACGTTAAATTGTTTTGAGTCAATCGTGTACTTTTCTCATTCTGACGAGGAAAAGCACTTGCCCCTTGTTAGTTATTAGGGGCATCCCGAAAACGTCCGTCGAAATATGACTTTTAAATTAAATTTCGTGATAATACCATACTAAAAAGGAAGAGACTTTGGCAAAGTCAAATACATGAACAGGATACATCTCATCTGATTCTCCGTTCACATTTGCTGTATCAATTTTTTTTTATTATTTTAAAATTTTACAAAAGTTTTATTCAAGAACCAATTTTAAAGTTTAAATGTAAAAAATAATATTTTTCAAATCGTTGTCTAAAAGAAATGGAACTATTTCTATAGGCAAGGATATGACGTGTCCGTCCGAACGAGTCGTAAAGTCGGTACATAATCTCGACCGCAAACCATTAAATCCAATGGTGAGGTTCGATGACACGTCAACGATTCGCGTGAAAGTCCAATTAACGAATAAAAAACGCCTCATTCTTCTTTATAAACGCTCCTCCGCCCCAAATCTGCGAGGCCGACTTCACCTCAATTCCTGAAAATCTTATTTACTTCAACAATGGCGCCAACCAAAGCAGAAAAGAAGCCCGCTGAGAAAAAGCCAGCCGAGAAGACCCCAGCCTCGTCGGAGAAGAAGCTTAAGGCTGAGAAGAAGATCGCTAAAGACGGCGGCGACAAGAAGAAGAAAAAGGTCAAAAAGAGCACCGAGACTTACAAGATCTATATCTTCAAGGTCTTGAAACAGGTTCATCCTGACATTGGGATCTCCAGCAAGGCCATGGGCATTATGAACAGTTTCATCAACGATATCTTTGAAAAACTTGCTCAAGAGGCTTCCAAGTTAGCGAGATATAACAAGAAGCCTACGATCACCTCACGCGAGATCCAGACCGCTGTTCGATTGGTGTTGCCTGGCGAGTTAGCGAAGCATGCCGTATCTGAGGGAACTAAGGCCGTAACCAAATTTACGAGCTCTTAGAATCCGAATCGGTAAATTTTGGGATTCGGTTTACGTTTACAGTTACGGTAACATGTTGTGTAGATCCTGGTTTCTCTGGTCATAGGTGTATCGATCTAATAGTTTCAATGAATAACAAATTCCTTCGGTAGATTCTCTTCACATTTGTTCAGCAGATGCTAATGAATTTTTCGTCCCGGCTCAAATGTTTGTCGAACGGAAAGAATTAGGATTTATACAGATCCGATATTTCAGTGCCGTCGATAGTTCTGTTCTCGATTCACATGACACTTCAATCGATTATTTAATAGTTCAATGCTTCGACATGATCATCGAGCAAATGTGAATTTTTGATAATCAGAAAGAGGTTGACTGATCGAATTGCGCCAATAACCTGTACGTTTGGAAACCGGCGTCATTCAGGCGGGGGCGTTATTGATTGTGATCGTGGCAGGATTCTCAGGTGAGGAGCAATTAAATGCCCCGATAGGAATGGATGAAATTTCCCACCACCGCTAGATGCTACTTGCATTAATCCTCATTGTTAATTTTCATTTTATCAATCATTTATTTTTTTAGTAATAAAATTTTGCATTCTACATGGGATAGATGACAGGTTTTAAATCCCCTCTATTTGAGGGAGAAGTTTCCAAATTTCATTTCCTCCCCCACAACAACTAACGGCCTAAACTCACTACTGACCTTATCAATTTAAAGGCATTTTAGTAGGGGATAAAAGAGGTTTTCTTATTTAATGGTGTCATTTTATAATTTTGTGTCTAATAATTAATGTAAAATAGGTGGAATATTAAACTGATAAATTTAGAGAATTAATTTTTTTAAAAAAAGAAGTTTAGATATTTGTTTGATATAGACTATTAACTAAGCAGGCCCAGTCCAATAGGAAATGGGCTTTCAGATAAGGAGGCCCCCAGTTCAATAGGAATTGGGCTTTCATATAAGGAGGCACAGTCCAATAGGAAATGGAATTTCAGATAAGGAGGCCCAGTCCAATAGGAAATGGGCTTTCATATAAGGAGGCACAGTCCAATACGAAATGGGATTTCAGAGAAGGAGGCCCAATCCAATAGGAAATGGGCTTTCAGATAAGCGGGCCCAGTCTAATATGAAATGGGCTTTCAGATAAGGAGGGCAGTTCGATAGGAAATGGGCATTCAGATAAGAGGGCCCAGTCTAATATGAAAATGGGCTTTCAGATATGGAGACGCAGTCCAATAGGAAATGGGCTTTCAGATATGGAGACGCAGTCCAATAGGAAATGGGCTTTCAGATAAGCAGGCCCAGTCTAATATGAAATAGGCTTTCAGCTATGGAGTCGCAGTCCAATAGGAAATGGGCTTTCAGATATGGAGACGCAGTCCAATAGGAAATGGGCTTTCAGATAAGCAGGCCCAGTCTAATATGAAATAGGCTTTCAGCTATGGAGTCGCAGTCCAATAGGAAATGGGCTTTCAGATATGGAGACGCAGTCCAATAGGAAATGGGCTTTCAGATAAGCAGGCCCAGTCTAATATGANGGCTTTCAGCTATGGAGTCGCAGTCCAATAGGAAATGGGCTTTCAGATAAGCAGGCCCAGTCTAATATGAAATAGGCTTTCAGCTATGGAGTCGCAGTCCAATAGGAAATGGGCTTTCAGATAAGGAGGTTCAGTCCAATAGGAAATAAGCTTTCAGAGGAGTCCCAGTCTAATATGAAATGGGCTTTCAGATATGGAAACGTGGTCCAATAGTAAATGGGCTTTCAGATAAGCGGGCCCAGTCTAATATGAATGGGCTTTCAGATATGGAGACGCAGTCCAATAAGAAATGGGCTTTCAGATAAGCGGGCCCAGTCTAATATGAATGGGCTTTCAGATATGGAGACGCAGTCCAATAAGAAATGGGCTTTCATATAAGGAGGCTCAGTCCACTAGGAAATGGGCTTTCAGATAAGTGGGCCCAGTCTAATATGAATTTCAGATAAAGAGGCTCAGTCCAATAGTAAATGGGCTTTCAGAGAAGGAGGCCCAGCCCAATAGGAAAGTATTGGAAATATCTGAAAACAAATAAATCAGCGAATTGTCAAAGGAAGAAAACGTGTAGAGCTCTGATTCGGCCTCGCAGCTATATCTATGAGACCGATTCATTTCTCTTGACCCAAAGGATTAGTTCCGTAAGATCCCAATTCCGCCACTATTTTCGACCTCATCCTCCCAAAATTATCCGATCCGCTTCCGCCGCCGCTGCAACGCCGCTGATCTTTTGCAGCATGTTACGGATCAGATGATTTCCAGTTCTTCCTTTTACTGACCGATTTCAGGTTCTCATGTTCTGAACCTTTGTGTTCTATTCGTACTTTCGATTCGCACATTTTCCATTTTTTTGAAAAGTTTTCTTCGAGCTCTTGGCTCTCAAATCTGAGGTTTTGTTAGACCCTACGAAAAATTAGGGTTTCGAAGAGCATTTCAGTATGCCTTCGGTACCAATTGATCTCTTCCTGCACCCTCTGCTTCCTTCTTTGACTTCTTTTCATGGTGGTTCATCGTCGCATCGTCTTAAGCGGCTTGAAAAGAGTGATCGGCGTGGTAATCTTAGTTAACATGGGGTTCTTTTAGCGCATTTCGTGCTCTATTCGTATTCTTCAGCCTTCTCTTCTCCTCCTTGCTCTTGGTTCGTTCGAGATTTGGAATTCCTAGAGAAATTAGAGTTGTAAGGTAAGGATTTATTTTTTTGATCTCGAGGTCTTTTAGCGGTTGAAGCCTCTGAGAAGCGAGCCACTGGCAATTGGCTACTCGTTGAGAGGGGTTTTGCAATCCTTACTATTGTGCGAGGTATTGTGCTATAATCTTTTTATATTCTTACTAAGAAATTTACAGGCATAATAGCTTCATGTTTCTTTCTGAGCACCTGGATCGAGTTTCTTTTCGGGATTGTTTGACTATATCTTGGATATATGTGCAGGTTCTAGCAGATTTTTTGTCTTATATAAGCCTGAATGGATATTCCTTCCGTTCACCAGAAGTTGGCTCTCCTAGACGTAGACGGGTTGGATGATCTGCAATCGTCTTTGAAAGAAATTGATGGTACATTGTTTAGTGATCTTGATGGATTTTTTAAAAAGTCCTTGAGCCTTGAAGATACTCAAAGTTCAGAATGTAAACTCAGTGTGAATTGCTGCTATAATTCAAATGATAGAAACAAACAAAAAGGGCTTGAACTTCCCGAGCTCAACTCAGCTAATAAGTGTTTAAGCAAATCCAAGTCCTTCCCCATCCCTGCTGTAACATCCCCTCCTAAGGAATCTTCAGACAATGAGAAGAAACCGCAAGTAGCGACGGGTGACGTGTCCTGTAATGAGTCTATGCATCAAGCCTTTGCAAGATCCATATCTTTACCTGTAAGTTTTCTTCTCATCAAAACTAAAAAGGGAGAAAGTTGCAGTTCTGTCTTGTGTTTATGATTTATTGTTTTAGTTAAAAGCTACTAATGTTCTAATTATTTTTATCTCACAAAGGCAAATATGGTGTGGGCATATGAACTTCTAAGGAAAGGCTTTACGAGTTTGGCTGACTTGATCCTAGAGATTATGTAGTACAATTCAATTTTGTTAATATAGATACTGCTTGGCTATTCGTTTCCTTTATGCGAATATTTTCTTTCTGAGCATGTCATGTTTTTGTGTTCTTGTGGAGGCAATCCTGCTGTGGCGGCTGTAAGTTTACTTTGCTTGCTATGTTGCGTGGCTTTGTGTGCAACACGGAAGTGTGTTCTTAATTTGTTCTGCTGTTTTCTCATTTTAATTTCATTAAGAATTTTCTGTCAACATTGTTTGTCGTGAGCAGCATTATCTACATTTTTTGTTTACTCACCCCAAGTGCAGATTTGAGTTTGTTAGTTAAAACAGCACATTATCTGAACTTGCTTGTGGTTTTATACAATTATAAATAATGAATTAGTGAAAAGTGAATGTTAGTGACGCTATTGCACATTTGCGTTTCATCTTATCCCTACTATTTGCCGACATAACTTCTAATGTCCAGGCTCCTGTGAGGCTCGTATCTGCTATGAAAGGTAGCCGAGTACAACACTATGGGGAGTCACCTAAGATGACTGTGACATGGGCTCCCGACGTGTACGATCCTCCTCAGACATCGTTGTGCCATAGTGTCAAAAACAACAAGAAGCAGCAGAAATCTAAGAACAGGAAGAATGGAAAGAAAGGACAGAAGGGCAGCAACTCTTCACGTGGAAGTGGTGGGGGTGGTGGTAGGGACAAAAGGCAGGCTCGTAAAGCCGTTGCTAGTTCTGATCGGTATCAAAAATCATTTAACCCTCACGAAAGTCTGGTTAGTACTCTCAATGAGTATGAGAATTTCGACGATGGTAGCTCAGACTCTCACTGTGGAAGCATCTTCCTGAAGACATCGCTCACCAAGGTGCACTACTCTGTTACTGAAGCCTTGTGAGCGTAGCGTTACTTGTCCAAGTTTTCATCTTCTCTTACAGTTTCTGTAAATAAATAAAATGTTTTTGTTTCTTTTGTGATTGTGGATAACCGAGAATCTTGGACCAAAGGATTGTATGACGTTAACTCGTTTGTTGTTTGTTTGAGGATTTATAGACCATTTTGTTATATGATGATTTTGAAATTCGCTTTTTATTTATTGAACACTGTTTTTGGATATGGGTGACTGCTTTTAGGGAGGGGTTTGTTTGAAATTTTTGTTTTAGAACTTCGTAACTGACTAATTGAATGTAGAAGTTGATGTTAAGCTCCATTTTTTCTAAAAATACCAAAAAAAAAAAAAAACAAAAAACAAAAACAAAAGATACATTGAAAATAGCAAAAATCCATGGAATTGGAACAACTCAATTATAACTTAGTTTAGTTCAATTAAATAAACAGAGGACCAAGTGATGTGTTTATTCTTTGTAGCTAGCTGCATTGCCAACAATCTATCTATGTAGTATACTCTGCATTTATCTTGACATAGTCGTAACTCAAGTCGCAACCCCATGCCCGTCCTTCTTCGTGCCCATCACCTGTCGATCAAGGCAACAATAACTAGCTTAGCTATTAGGCTGGTAATAGAAAATCCTTTTTGGTTGTCATTGGAATATCATTGTTCAGAATTACATGAATATCTTTTCTTAGTGAAGTGAAAATGTAATATAGTATTTGAAGAACTCACCTATAGAAATGTAAATTTTGACAGTACCATGGGTTTCTCCAGCGCTTCTGAGATAGTTACTAGCCGCAGCCCTGAAAACAGTCACAAGTGATTAATTAAATTACAAAGATGTTTAAACCCGTCTTTAAAATGTGTGAAGATTGTCCTTAAACCTGTCAAAAGATTGAGGTTCTCCTCCGTCCATGAGGAGAATGTTTCCTAGCGACACTTTGAGTTTCTTCTGCTCAAACGCTACCCCTGCGTACCCGGCAGCTGCTGCTATGCGTCCCCAGTTTGGATCTCGGCCATATATAGCTGACTGCAACATCAAAACATAATAATGAAACATGCTTGCATGAGGTGCGCCAGAGAAAGATGATTTAAGAATGAAAATCGTGCCTTTACGAGCGACGAGCCTGCCACCGAACGAGCAATTTTCGCTGCTTCGGCTTCTGAACTTGCACCATTCACTGCAACCTGTGGCATTCGCAGATGGGAGATTTCAAGTTCTTTGATGTCAAAAGGCATAACTATGTAAGGTTTTGTTTATAGAAATGCAGACCTCAATCAGACAGGTTGCTCCTTCACCATCCCAGGCTATTGACTTGGCAAGGCCTTGCATCACCTTCAAATAGAATCGAGAAAAAAAAAATCTTTTGAAGCTGTCCTGATTCTCAAAAGGACATATCAAAATTTGGATAATAATGAGATACATACCACATCAAGGCATTCTTGAAGCTGTCCTGCTTCTCGACTTTTCAGTGACGAAATTATATTAGAACGAGACCCCGACAAGCCACTCGACAGAGCAATGACAGTGTCGTTGGTACTTGTATCCCCATCCACCTGCATTGTCCAACCCAATTACAATAAAGGAAAATTGTAATTAACTGCATCTCGGATATCGATTAAATACCATTTTTGTCACCCCTATCTAATTACCACTATACCCTTACTCGTACCCTTGCACAAACCTAATATAAATTAGGTCTATGATACAGGCGTTCTTATATTTGTGCCATTTTTGCAAAACATTTTATCAGGTGATAAATCAAATCAGATAGTGTGAAATTATTAACACATACTGAACAATCATACCGTAATCTGATTGAAGCTTCGATCAACAGAAATTTGCACCATCTTTCTCCAAACATCACTAGCAACCACAGCATCCGTTGTTACAACCTGCCACATTGTAACAAATCAACATCAATCAAAAGAACCATATGCATTTAACTTGTTCGAGTACAACCCACAAAATTTGAAGATACATACACCGAGCATAGTAGCCATACTCGGGTGAATCATTCCCGAACCTTTCGCCATTCCTCCAATTCTTATGGTTGAGCCCCCAACCTAGGCATTAAATCAACTGTTAGTCCTGCCTGCAATGGTTTTAATTGAATACATCACAGCCAAATATTACGCACTTGGGACTCGATTGCCACGCTTTTACTGACAAGATCGGTTGTCGTTATCGCCACTGCTGCAGAAGCTGCACTGTAAACAGGCTGATAAAGTTATTACAACCAGAAAGTATAATCAGTACTTGAATTGAAATAAAGGGAAGGAAGGAAGAAAACATTTGTAGAAGAAAATTAATAATGAAGGAAAAGGCTCAATGAAGTAGAATCCGCATACGTAACTGCAGAAAGTACGAACAAAACTAACTAGAAGATTGAAGATTACCCTTCAACTGAAGATGAAAGAGATCTGACTAGTTTTGGAAGAGAATTCAAAAGTGCATCCTGCAAGAATTCAAGACAATACCTCCCAGTTGGTATATTGTCAGCTAAAATACAAGACACAATACATTTCAATACCTTTTTGATTCTATGACCAATCACCCCTGTAGATTCAACTAGAACTTCCTCTGGCCTTATTTGAAGGATCTGCAATTAAATTTACTTAAAACTTAAAGAGTTGTTCTGAAAAAAGAATGAACAAATTTGTTGTGAACCCTATGAAGGTGCATGCCTTAGAAAGATTGTTGACACATTCTATCACATCTTCATAACCAGCATCCCCCTGCAGCAACAAAAAGAATCTTCATCCTACATAGCCATAGATTTCTAACTTTCCAAGTCCAAACCGTATTCCGAGATAACTATCTCAATAGAAGTCATCAAAAAGACTGCTTACCGTGGCGGCATTGGCTTGACCAGCATTTATTAACACTGCACGTGCCTAACAAATCGTAGAATCGATCAAATTGTTGTTAGTAAATAAACAAGCACATGAAGTTACAATTTTAGTAAGTGAATATAAAAGCATGGTTTGTTGAACAGAGTGAGCCAAAACCTGGTATGGCCATATAAAAGGAGGAAAATCAGTGAACTTGTTAAACATAATTTGAAGCCGATATGCAAGATAACCTACCGTTTCCAAATCGTTCAATGCTTTTTTACAGTATAACACTGGTGCTGCAGCAACTACATTCTTTGTAAATGCTCCTGCAAGTGAAAATGAGCAAACTCACAGTCAGTGTGTAGAACGTTTCTCAAGCTTAGCTATGGATGATCAAGTCACACGCTCATTCCAAACCAACCAGCATGACAAAAAAATTCAGAATTAATCAGTTCACCAAAATTTTTCCTATGATGATCATTGTCTAGTTTGTATAATAACCAAAAATTGATTAAAATAGAATGCAGATGAACTCAACAGTGAGCTCTTACCGGCAGAAATGGCATCAACATCGCAAGTAACGAGTGCAAGGTCGGGTTTCTCTCCCAATGCACGTAACCCGCCATAGAGCCCCGCAGCTTTGAACCCCTTCGCAGCAGTAACTCCTCCACCAATCTGAAAAACAAGTTGTCTTTTCAAAACTAAATGTTCTTTAGATTCTAAAATTTGGCATTTTCAAAGAACTTGTGAAGAGGAGATTAGAAGACGAAAACATAAAATTTGGGAAGGAAAAGAACTTGGAGATGAACACAAGAAGAAGAAGGGCAATAAAGTAATCAGCCAACCCTAGAAACTCAAACTAAATCAAAACAATCGACATCTTCAAGCACACAGACAGTAAATTCACAGTGCCTGACCTGCTTCCATGGTCCATCAGGAATCAAAATCGGAGCCTCCGGCAAATAATTGGCGGTCTCATTCGTAGACACAGAAAACACTCGAAAATTCCTCTAAGACAAACAGGAAACGAGCAGAACATCAGTGAAAAACCGAATAGAAAAGTTAAAAAATAAAGCGGAAATGGAAAAAGGGGTATGAATATTGCAGTTGTTTGTAGCTAAAATCCGACCTAGAAACAAGAACATAGAAAGGGATTTAACCTTTGGGGACTGAAGGGCGGGGAGTTTGAGAGAGGGGTAGTGAGGAACGGAGAGATACATCGTTCTATTCTAGACTGAAACAGAGACAGACAGAGACAGAGAGAGTGAAGGAGAAGGAGGCGACGACGAATCGAGCGTTATATTAAGTTGAAAGGGACTTTAGGAAAGGGGTTGTTGTTGGGGTTTGGTTTGGTCAAAAGATTGGGTTACAGTGCAACTTGGTGCGATTGTGACCGTGATAGTGTGATACTTGTTTTAACTTGTTTTAACTCAATGAATAAGTTAGCTATAAGAAATTCGAACCGACAATATTGATGCATTCTCGAGTCTCAAATCACGTTTGCAAGAAATGTTGTAGAAAATGTGAGTGGAGAAATACATCATGACTAAAGTAGCATATAATTTATGGTAGAAAGAATTGACAACTAGTTACATCCTCTTCGAATACATTTTGGAGCATTTTAGTCATGACGGTTGTAGACACAATTTTGGTAAACAGTTATTTACTCCTGTATTGACACAACATGAAATAGTAAAAGGGGTTTGAAACCAGCATGCGACCATAGACAACACGTCCTAGACAAGCATGACCGGGACATCTGACATGCAGCTATAGACAACATGATTTGGATAAGCATGACCATACAATCAACAGCCATCACCACGACGAAGGGATGTCTGGATCATCATAATCGAAACAAGAGTTCTATGAATTGAGAGATAAAACAGGGGTTAACTTTTATTTAGAGCTAAAATTGAAAGTTGGGACAATGAGTGATTTATAATATTCATTAATCAAAAGGTTTTACATCGATATGAATGTTAAAACAATCCACACAATTAACATTTTGACATCATTTTTTGCATCAATAATTTAAGCCATAAGTGGGGGTGTCAATGGGACAAGTGAAAATTGAAAGGTTCTAATTCCATAATCTCTAGAACATGCCAACATGGAGAAAATTGCAGGCTTTAAGAACCCACTTACTTTTGTCTTTGGTCTTTCAATCCATTCCCATCGTTAGCTTAGATTTTTGTAATACATGAGTACACTTTGTAGAGAGTTTACTTTCAAAATGTATAATTATGGAGGAAAAATATATTAGCTTAATAATGATTTTATTAGCGATGTGGTTTATCCTCTTCCCCTCTTCTTCTTCCGACTCTGGCTGGTGCCGTTCACGGCCCTCCTCCTATCTCAAAAACCCTCTAATCTTCAAAGCATTTCTAGGGAGAAGAGAAGAAGAAGAGACACAGAGAGAATAAGTGACCTCAAAAACAAAATTAATATCTTTACCAACTCATCAAGCCTCCACATTATTTTCTAACTAACCGACCAAAGACCATTTAGAAGCCATAAACATCAAACTAAAACTCGAGAGAGACCAAAGGGTATTCTACAAAGAAAACCCACAATTATTCAGGAAGAAAAAAAGGAGAATTTGATCAAAATTTCTGAGGGTGTTATACAGACAGGGTTGATCAAAACTTGTAAAAGTCCTAAAAAGGGTTTGAGAGAGGGAGAGATTATATGCATACAGAAACAGAGACGAGACGGCTGGAAGAACTTGATAGAGCAACAGGCAAATGCTAATACAACATCCACTTCCAAGTAGGTGGGCCTATGTCTCTGCAACAGCAAGCCAATCTTGTATTTCCCCCTTTCTTTGTGTTAGTATTTTTTTTACACTTCGGAAGCCGAACTACACGAAATATGATTTTAGTTAACCATAAAATACAAAAACAATACAAAACAAAAACAGGGACAGAGAGAGAGAGAGAGTCTCCAGCATGCATAATAAAATGTCAGCATGCAAATTCTTTTTTTTTTTTTTTTTTTTTTTTTCCCTTTCTTCACTGGTACCCCCTTCCTTCCCAATTAGTTAATTATCTAATTTCTAGTTTGTACAAACAGAACAACCTTCCCAGAAGATGATTGTTGCCTTTGGCTGCCAGTCCAAACCAAAACTCGCAGCAATTATACATCACAACTACGTTATGTAGGATTTAGGGGAAAAAAGAATGAAATAAAAAAATATAATAATATAAAATTCCAACTTTCAGCTAAAACCTTTCCTTCCTTCAAACGGGATCCTAACTTGGAATTATTTCGATAGAGACGTCGCACTAATCATCATGTCAACGTCGACTGCTGGACCACCTTCTCTAGCATCGATGTTCCGTTGAAGATCGTCAGCTGGACCTCCCTCATATACTTCATCAACTGCCCAATCACAGACAACAAGATGAGAAACGTTTCAACAGAGGATAATAATTTGCAGGTAACTGGGACAAGAAATGACTCGGAAATGGGTATAGCAAATCATCCAAGTAAATTTTGTCCAGGAAACTATGTTGGACTAAGAAAACAATATTTTGGATCAATTCAAAATTTTCAATTTGGATCAAATCACAGAGTTGTGAGTTGAGTCAATAAGCAATTAATGCGAAACTCAGTTGTTAGGAGTGAGCCAAAAGTAACAGAAACAAACTGACCCAACCCATAGTATAGGTGGAATGGATTGAGTTGTCAATTATTTTGTACGCTCACAAAAGCCAACTATAGCATCATGGGATATTGCTTACTTGTTCTTCACTCATCTTTCTGAAGCCCAATTTCTTAGTCCAAATTGATTCAGCATCCTCGGCTGCAGGGAGTACAAGGTTTTGCACGTTCAGGGAAGAAAGTAGCCGCTCTATACAGGAAAACAATACTTGGAAATAACCCTGCGCACCCCCAAAAACAAAAAAAGATTCAACCAGAGCAAAAGAGAGTAGAGATGAAAACCTACAATCTAACAATCAACTACAACCTTCTCAATAAGAACCTTAAGCACGTACCCTGCCCTGATGTTCTCTACTTGTTGCAACAATAGGAAGCTCAGCAACTTCACGACCAAATATCCTAAGAAGACCAGCCGATACAACTATCGATCTGAGAAGCAAAGGATCACAAGAACGTGAGGGAATAAGTGTAGGAAAAAAACATGTAGTGCACTATAGCTAGAATGTCATACCTCACAATTAAAACAACGCAATACATTCCTCCAAACTCTTGCCCAGATATATTTCTCCTGCAGTGAGTCATTATATATCAAACATCTAATCATATAAAAACACAAATAGACAAGCATCAATCCAGTTAATGAGCAATAGGGAATGAATTCATCAGGACACTAGAGCCTTTACCCCATCATTTTAAGGAAACAAACAACACTGCTGTGCCAGAGAACAGACCATAATTTATAAATTGAAAACTAGCCTAAAGAAGTTCGTAGATTTAAAAAGAATAAAAAGAGATAAAACTCCAAATATTTATCTTACCAACGAAATTGGAATAGCCACAAGATATAACATTTATCTTACCCATAAACCATAACAGGAATCAGATCACGACCTGATTTTGCAACAATAGGATCAAAACATTCCTGTTGAAAAAAAAAAAAAAGAGGTGATTAGAACTCCAGAAAAAACAACTTCAATCAAAATCAAAAGTAACTCAAAAAATGTAAAGATCATTTAAGGGAGTTTGATTCCCAGATTTGAAAAGCTTAAATTTATGAAGCCCATAGTTGTATGTTACGTATGTTTGGATTGCAAAAGGGAATGGATTTAAAATTTCTAAATCTGTAAAGTTATGGATTTAGATTTTGAATGGAAGGTTAAGAAGAAGAATTGCTGGGGTATCAGATTAATATGGAGAGCCGTACTCGAAAAATAGCAGTTGCCCTTGAAAGAAAAGGAAGATCTTCTGGGAAGCGACTTTTTCCACTTAAAATTTGCCACCGAACATCATTAAGAGCTCCATCAACTGGTAATCCTTTTCCAACATGCTTCCTAATTATTAAATCTGATAAGGAATCTGGAATGATCTGTGCCCCGTTCAAAACTGTATTCTGAAAAGCCACATGGATATTACTGCACTCGTCACAGCAGAACCACTTGTCCTTGGGAAGTTCCTACAGGAAGATTGGGGTCCTCTAAGTACCTTCATAATATTATTTAAGATTAAAAGTAGTGAAATTGCTTTTAAACATACCTTCAGATCACATAATCCACTATCCCGCAGACAGCCTACATGGAATTCTCTTTCACACTGAAAAAGAAAATAAAAATAGACAACAAATTAAACAAAGCAAAAGGAAAACAAAAAACAAAAAAAAAAAAAAATCGAATAAAGAATTGATATAATGTTCATACTTGATCACAAAGAAGTACAGTTCGATCATCAAATTTAGCAGCACTGAAATCATGTCGCCTACAAGATTGTGAGAAGTTGTATCTGAGTTAAAAGATAGTACAAATTCATGTACCTAAGAAATAATGAGATATGACCTTTATTTCTTTTATAAGAAACAACAAAAAGAGTAAAGAAAGCTTCAGTTTTATCATGAAAGAGTATCAATTACATTTTATCAGCACTTCTTTAATTGGGGCCCTTTCACATGATTAGTGTTGGGGCTTCTTCTGTTGTTTTTTATGTTTTATTTTCCTGCATGCCCTTGACCACTCTTTCATCAAATTTCACAATAAAAGGTAGGTTTCTCATAAAAAAATAAAATCAGATTTCACTTGCTAACTCTACAAGAAGCACAAGTAGTAATTATTAAACCATTATAAAAACAAACAAACAAAAGACTTAAAAAATCTGTATCCAGCAATTACTGAATCAGAGTTTCAGCTAAACAAAATATAAATGAAAAAAGGACAAAAAGGACGAATGTGGAGTTGTCAAACTAACTTCTCTGTAACCTTTAAACATGGCATACATGATACAAGTTTTAAAAAGGCGAAACAAATATTTAAAAGAATGGGAACATATATGTTTCATCCATTCCTAGAACAGGTTCTTAAAAATTATTAATATTTATCCAGTAAAATATGGTGCAGTGATTTACAAGTTCCCCTACCCTAGATCTCAATTTTGAAGGTGGCAGTGGCATTCTCCTAAACTAACTCGAACAGATAATTTCATAAAAGAAGTCATCGTAATAGAATCTAGAGATGGGAGAAAAAAATGTTATTACCTGCAAACAACACAACCACCAATTTCATATTCAGGTGCTTTAACAACTCGTGTCAACCTAAATACAATTGGTTTTGAAAAACTCAAAGAACCTCCGGAAGGAGCCTTCAAATTGGAACCCACTTTATCTCTACAGTTTGGGCAAGACCAAACTCCTTCAGGAACATTCTGTAGATGCAGGCAGCCTGTAAAAAAAACCTTTAGGAGTGCAGAACTAGCATCCAATTGTGAAAATAAGCAGATATAGTTTAAAGAAATTAGCAAGAGGAGAGTCAAATGAACATGGCCACTGGCTAGAGTGGGGGTAAAATGATAATGCTAAGCCAATCCATGGAGACAAACTGAAATCCATACTGCAGGCATATTACATATTTTTGGATGCAATTTTGAACAAACATAGAACACTTTTAGAATAATCAACCTGATGAGACTCCATCTAAGATAGGATATACCAAACAAAGAAAAACAAAAATCCACCTGTATGGAAAGCTCGAGGGCAGCGATCACAGAAAATCAAATCCCCTCCATTACCACATGCAGCGCACATATCATCACTATCTCCTGTGGTAAGTTTTTGCCCACTAGCCAAGGAAATGGCTATATCATGAAGCGTAAGTCCATTTGTAATATAAATGTGGCGGTAGCTGCATCACATAGCATGTTTTTTAGTATGACAATCTATCAGCACTCCAAGATAATATAACACTTCACACCATACTCACGGCTGACGTCTGGCAGCCATCCCTGCATGGGCTTCAAACTGTGAAGGGCTGATCTGTTTCAAATTTGTGAAACGGCTAAGAAATAGATAAATATAGACCGAAAAAGAGATCAAAAGAGAACGAAGGGTGAGATTACTTTAACAAATAAAAGTTGCAGCAGCTAACCTCTCGATTACAGTGAGTACAGAGTATGCCATTTCCTTGCTTGTAGCCTACAAGTATTCTCTATGCAAAGTAGGGAAAACGAAAAGGAAAAAAATGTCAGATCAATCAACAAACTGGTTCATTACATGCATACATCAGCTAAGATGGCAATTACCTGTCCTTTAACAAAGTATGCCAGCTCAGCCCCATCTGGAAGCCCATTTGGCATGAAAAGTAGCCTGTGAAGATCATTATCCCTGCCAATATAGCGGAAAACTATCAGTGACAAGGAATGCTATAAACTATTTCTTTTGGAAAAATTAAATAGAAAATGTGTTTGCTATAAGCAATAAGAGAAATACCTTCTTTTTGTGCCTTTTTCTGCCGTTTTCTTCTGTTGCATAACTGGGTTGGATAAATTAGGGATTGGCCTGGCATAAAACGAAAAGTATTACATGACCAAAGCACGAGAGTATTCCAAAAACGAAACATATCTTAAAGAAAACGTAGTGGAGCACAAAGCAACCAGCATTTTCAAAAATCAAATAATTATCAGGAAGTTAAAAGTTACAAAAAAACAATGCTAGCTCGTAGCTTCATGCTTCTAATGCAATACTAATACTGAGGAGCAAAATGTTAATTCGATGATAAAATGCCTTTGGATCTAAATAGAGGCAGTTCCTGACAGCAAAAGGTTCACACATCTTCTTTGATGTCAAGAAAAAATTTAGCATAAAAATGTTTAATCCATTCAAGAGTATTTACTTGGGTATGGTCGGTAAGGTAGCTAACCCAAAATTTACGGAATTTCTTTAAATATTCCTTGCCCCTCAAACCCTAGAATCAAACAGAGACTGATGCTTTTTAAGTCTTCAAATAGAGGCACTATAGCATATAAATTTTATGTCACTGGCAACTGAAAAAAATATATAGAATAGCATAAATACATAAATGGAAATTGTTTGATTCAAGAATGTGAAAGGGATGCACATAAGTGGCAGCCAGCTAGACATAAAATAACAAAGAATGAATTACCCTCTTGGGTACAACAAATCCTTATATTTTTCAACAAACATAGAGAAGGGTTATCAGGTTATTATTTTATACCTGTCAATGGGATGTGACAACTTAGGAACCTTCACATCATCATTTTCCACTTCAATAATTGCACTGTTCTGGTGGAAATTTGCTGCAGAACATAAAATTGTCAATAGAAGAAGAGAGTCCAACTCCTTCATTTTCAGAGGAAGGAAATTCATTAATTAGTCTCATACTTAATGGTTAATGCCAAAACAGCAGATCAAAGCAGCTCCAATCCTGATTATTTTTAGGCTAGAATGGAAAAAAAACTAGCTCATTTACTTAAAAGGCGTTTAATTTATTTTTATATATATATATTCTTTTAAATCTTTATCAAATACATCAAAACAAGCCAACCCCAAGCACCTCAAGAATCTTCCAGAAAGGAGAGAACTAGAATTGTTAGAAAATTCAATACCTTTCCAAACCTCAAATGAATCCACGTTAATACATGAACCCGCTACTTCCTTAATCACTTCATCTAATATGCTAAGAGGTGCACTCTTAATTTCCTGTATGACACTATAAATTGGCCTCCCATTCTCCAGGTATATATGATTATTTGGATGTCTAGTCTTGAAACCAGCGTGCTGCTCAAACTCATAAGCACTGAGGATCTGTTCCAAATTGTCATTTAATTATATGGTCACTCCAAGGAAGTTCGGAAATAATGTAAATGAATTGCTTATTACTTACAGTTGTAAAATTGCATATTGAACATCCGCACATATAACCTCCGCCATTTATAATACCATGTAGCTTCATCTAACAGTAAAATTGAAATTTAAATAAATAAATAAATAAATAAAAAATCAGACCGTGAAGAAAATAGCACCGAGCAGTATTAGGAAGTATGAAAAATAACAAATACCTCGCTTGTCGTAGATATATACTTGACTCGAGCTCCGTCAAGTATACCAGTCGACAGTAGCTTTTTAACATTTGACGGGTAATTGTTTGGTAAAACCTTCTTCGACATTTTCAATTCCATTTTATTTGAACCTAAAGGATACCTGCTGCTCTCAGCAATGCCTTCCCAGCTATGTGCAGATGTCTCCGTACAAGCATCGTCCACCAGTGAAGGTTCTGGTTTACAGTCCTTGTCGAAGTTCCCATATGAACAAACTTTGTCTGCTGACATGGATGCGGCATTTTTGTCCTTTTTTTTGCTGAACTTGAACGTAATTTTTCTAATTCCAGTTGAACTAGCATGCTTGGGTATTTCAATCACAAACCGAGAGACCTCATCAACATCACACATATCAACGTCATTTCGAGACGTGTCATTCTGGCAACGAACTCCATTGCTAGAGATGTCCTCCGAGCTTGAATTACCCGAACAAGCCGAGGTAAGGTCCCCACGCTCAACTTGGTTGGTATTTTTTTGCTCCTCAGGTTGGCTGGTAATATCTTGGAAATTATTCCCTTTCGGAGAAATTACGGGATTCGAAACTTCTGAACGAACATCTTCATTCGACACTTCTTTAGCCTGCTTCTTGTTGTGAAAAGCCTCGGGCTCCGTATCTTCATCAAGACACTGATGGTCCCGCTTCAATTCGGTACTCGGAGCGCTCTCTTTCCCCAACGGCTCATTTGTAACTGCAGCCAAAGCAGCTGCTTCTTCTCCCATCCAATATATATTCCTCCAAATCTGCAGAGCCAGTAGCTAACAATCCCGCAAACCCAATCGGCAGCATCCAAAAAGCCCAGGCAGAGTGGAAATGAATATCGAGATTCACGTAAAAAACAGACTAAAATTCCTTGGAGCCTGAGAATTCGAGTACTAAACTTCAATAAAACCTAAAATCGACCAAGTGAAAAGTATCAGAAAACCATTAATTCCGAATAACCGCCGGCTGTTATCATCAATTCAGAAACAGAGAGTTCACGCGTAAAATAAAAAAATCTAACCTCGACGCCCTTCTTGAAACCAAATAGGAACAATCCGATAAGAACAACTGAAGAATAAAAATATTTTTAAAAAATAATTCAAGCCGCGAACACCAAAGCCTCCGATTGAATTCCCAACAACTACGGATCTGAGATCTGCACAGTCAGCAGCAGATTTCAGGTTTGTATAAAGTAAAATCGATCGGAATACGACGATGAGCGGATTAGTTAGGGCTAGGGTTTTGCCCGCGAAAACCTGAAAGAGAAAAACGTGAGAGACGAGCAGGGCGGCAAAAAACCGAAATGGAAAAGCTTTTAGTTCGCGGTCAAGATTTAGCTCTGGACGAGATAGACATAAGCTCCACGGAAAAAAAATAAAAATAAATAACATATTTATTTATTTTAAAAGCAACAACAAAAATAATGAAGTTCGTGACGGTTCACGATCTTTAGAAGGAGCGGGATGACGGTTTGAAAAGCCCATGGGGTCTACTTTTTAATCCAATAAGAAACTGACACGTTGGATTACTCGCCAGCATTGTACTTGCGTGGAGGCTTCTAGTGATGATGTGTCTCATCTACAGAACAGGACCACTTTATTAGCAGATACTTTATGAGCCTTTTTATTTTCTTAATTAAAAATATATTGATTTTTCTTTGCCTTTGGGCTTTTCCTTCCTTATCGCTTGGTGACGTGTAATTTGAAGATCATGGCAGTTGTTTTTTGTGTCAGAAACTTAATTTTGGGCCGTTAGATTATTCCACGTCATTGTGCTGAAGTTGATTCTTTTTTTATTGTGGGCTTTGGGCTCAATGGACTAGATTTTAGTTTGGGTAGCCTCAAGGCCGAATTACTTAGTGAACGTTTATTGGGCCCATTTGAATTTGGGCCCAAATATCATGGGCTCAACTACAAAGGATCAAATAATTATACATGGGCAGGTTTATTATATACTTAGAATTGATTGGGCTGAATATTCTTAGGCTAAAATAATTATAATTTGTCTCCTAATTAAGGTTATTTTAGATAATTTGATGACATTAGTATTTAAACATCCCACCCAACGCGGCATGCGTCCGTTCGCAGGCAGTTAGAAAGTTTCCCCATTTCAATTTCCCACGGCGGTAGTTTCCATAAATTCCGGAGTTCCGATTTCTTTTCCATAAATACCCTTCCATTTATAAATAAAGACCGTTGGTTACAAATTAATTTTCACTTTTCATTTTGTAAAAAAATAAAATAAAATAAAATAAAATAAAAATACCAATTATATATGCTTTTTTATTTAATTTGAAACCATGATTTTTTATTACCATATAGAAATTAAAATTTAAAAATTTAAAATTGGTACGAAAATTATAATATATTTATATTTTTTTAAATATTGGCTCTAATACTCCAAAATTTCGATACTAATAAGGTTGACGTATTAACTAAAGACAAATTAAATATCTAATATTATAATAGATTACATACGTCACTGTCCGTTAAAGTTTAATTTTGGTACGTATTTATTAAAGTTAACCGAACGATCTATTACGTAAAAAATTAAAAGTTGGTAAGTTTTAATGTTATCTTTATTAAACTATTATAATTCAAAGTGTTTACTACACTGACCTTGGAAGTTTAGAGTTTTGAATGTCTAACCATATAATATTTGAATGGGTAAATAGATAAGAATTTGAAATGGTAGTAAAAATTAAAGATTTGAATATTTTAAGTATTGGTATTAGGTTGAAGATAAATATGAAACAAAATACTAAAGTAAACGTTATATAAAACCAGTCAACTCTACCGTTACGCCGGCGACACACTATTTATCTCTGTTCACTGTTCTCTCCTCTACTCACAAATCCACTCTCAATTCTGAAATCTCCGGCGGAAAATGTCGCAGCGACAGGGCAAGCACCAGAGGAGGCCTTCGCAGAGCGTTTTTATTGCGGCGGATTACCTCTCCGAGCCGCCACGGGCAACCGGACCGGGATCTGCCGTTGAACATGCAGGTCCACACTCGACTCACCTTCCTCGCCCACCGCAGCAGAGTCGCAACGCTGATCCAGCGGCGCCAAGGCCTCCTGCTCCGGCGGCGTCGAATGAAGCTCCAAATCCGACAAACTAGCGGACCGAAAGCAGGGATCAACGACGTCATTGTGTCGTGTCTCAATATGAAGATGAAGTACGCTTTTAGCTTTGGATCTGTGGTTTAGTTTCTGCTTTTTTATTCGGTAATTTTTAGATTAGGTGTCCTTTATGTAATTTTACTCACAGGAGTTATGTGGAAATTTGGTGTTAAATCTAAGTTCATCTTGTTCGTTTTTTTTTTTAATTTTTAATTTAAATTCCAAACCCATCAAATTGCTTTTATTTTGACCCTAAAATTTTGATTTAACCAAATAATCCACCAACTTACTCGCAGAAGTTTGATTAGATGCATGCAGCTGAGAGAGAAAATCAAACCAAATTTGGAAAAAGTGGTTTTTAAATATTTAAAAAAATATATAATTATTAAACGAGAGTTAAATTTGTTTCTAATTATTAATCAAGATAATTTAACAAAAAATAATAGACGATTATTATTATTATTATTTTAGATTTAAATAGAGACAGACGTGGATTCATGTGGTACAATAATTATAAAATGAGAAGCAACAAACAGAAAAAAAAAATAAAAAATTGTTGAAGGGCATAGAAGGAAAGGGAAAAAATGGAAGGCGAAATAAAGGTGGGCATTTGCAACAAACACAAGCAATGCCCAATGGTGGAAAAATGGACGGCGTGGAAAGGATGTGCTTCTTTCTTTTTTTATTATTATTTTTTTTACGTTTTGAAAAAAATAAAATAAAATATTATTATTATTATTATTTTCTTTTTTTGGTGAGGAGGGAAAGAATTGCGTTGGATCGACGCAGTGGACGGAATCTCGGGAAAGAGAATTGGGAGTTATTTTTATCCCATTTCTAAGTTTTTAAATTTTTTATATTTAAATTATAATAAAATATGTCAACCAAGAAACTCAAACTCGTAGCCGCCCATCTTCGCCGAGCTGCACGCCGTGTGTCCGCTTTGTTGTCTTTATTTAAATTTATATTTTAAACCATTGGCTAATAATTTAAAATCGGTGTAATCTTATCTAAATAAATTTTTGTGAAAGACTGAAGGTATAGTTTCCAATATTTAGATAAACTTTAATAATTTTCTGTATAACATATTAATAAATCTTAATAAATATATATTTATAAAAATTATATAAATAAATAAATATCGAACCTTTAAAATTCAAAACTCAAAGGATTTATCTTTTTATTTAACATAAAATTTATCAAAAAAATAAAAGAAAAAAACTACTTGATGACAATAATCATATTATTTGTTTAAGATTAAAGGTTTTATTTTATTTCAAGTCAAATTAAATTTAACTTAGTAGATCGAAAAGGAATTTAGAAAAATTGAAATAAAAGATAATGTTAGTTGAAGCCGAATGAGCCGGCTTATACGAAGATGCGGCGCAGCCAGAGGTACCGCCCCACGTCCATGGACACGTGGCGCATGTTGGTTGGATGGTCACCATTTACTGCCAGCTGTCAAATGTAAGTCACCGCCACGATAGCGTTGCTCCCGAGCACCAACACAGAGAAAAAAATAATAAATAATAAGAAAAAGGACCCAACAAGAAAACCGCTATAAAAGCCAGTCTACATTTGTTTCTCATTTCTGAGCCCGCCTTCTTCATCATCTTCATCATCTTCATCATCGGAGCTTCTTCTGTTTCCTCTCAAAATGGTGAGTTCTTCTGAAGTTTACTTACTTTCTGCTATTCTTCGTGGTTTGACGATCGTTTGGTTCTTGAGAAAGTAGGATTCTATTTCTAGTTTGCAACTTTCAAAATAACTACACTCTTGCGATCGGGAGTTTCTTGCAATTTGCGGAGTCTTTGAATCTTTGTATATAACTTTGAAGTCGTAATCCGCATGCAGTTTCTGTGGTGGGGAGTGAATGTGTTCTGTTCCCTAGGAGATCGGATTTGAATTCTTCTGTGGTTGTTTCAACTAAACGAAACGTCATGTTCTTTGATTTATTGTCGACTTTGAGTGATCGAGTGGCCGTGGATCTATCACAATCTTCGTTTTTATTTTTGCACTTCTTGTTATGTTACATTTGAAATTTTTTGTCAAGGATTGCAATTACAAGTTAATATTCGTGTATTCCCCCTTTTGAACCTTTTGAATTGCTATTAATCTTCTTATGCATGTTGTAAATGAGGGGGAAACTCTGTTAGGTTGTGATGCCTGTCTCTGATCCATATTTTGTTTGTTCCTTTGTTTTAAGTTTGGATGAAATCAATATCAACTATCAAGCTACGGATAAAAGCTTATGGGGGAAAATCTTATCCTGTCCATATTCTTATCTTGCGTGGATGAGGAAGAGAATCCATACCATTTACTTGTTACATGGTTATCTTAATTTGACTTAGTGGTTCTCAAAGCTGGAGGCGCACTAAAGTGTAACAGAAAGGTTTTTAAGAAAATAAACTTCTTGTTTGAGATCGTATGAATGTTTTATACATTGCTTTCTCTAAAATATTAGAAAAGAAAAAGTGGGAAGTTACTCTCAGTAGCTTCGTTAAGGGAACCTTTGCTTCAAAGGCTTATTTGAAGCAAGGCGTAGAGGCTGAAGTGTAACAGAAAGGTTTTTAAGAAAATAAGCTTCTTGTTTGAGATCGTATGAATGTTTATACATTGCTTTCTCTAAATTATTAGAAAAGAAAAACTAGGAAGTCACTCTCAGTAGCTTCGTTAAGGGAACCTTTGCTTCAAACGCTTATTTGAAGCAAGGCGTAGAGGCTGACCTTGGGGCTCAAGCGTGTCTTGGTGCGTGCCTCGGTGGGCTTCTTAAAACACTGATTTGACTAAACATGACTATAAATTGATGGCTAAGATAAGGCTCTCAAGGGAAAAACAGAACAATTGTTGAAAATTTGAAAAATCTGATTAGATCAGAAAAATTCTCTCGTTCCCAATTTTATGCATGTCCAGTGTTGGGTTAAAGATCAATCACCCCACTGCTTTGCTTTGTAGCCTTTATTTGTATTGCTGTATTTCCAACAACGTTTAATTTTCCAACTTTGTTCTTCCTTTTCAACTCTTTGTGTATGCATCTCTTCTGGACTTCAAAATTTTATTAAACAGTTTCGTTCTGGATTTCATAGGCCAATGCTGCATCGGGAATAGCCGTGAATGATGATTGCAAGCTGAAGTTTTTGGAGCTCAAAGCAAAAAGAACCTATCGCTTTATTGTGTTTAAGATCGAAGAGAAGCAAAAGCAAGTTGTCGTAGAGAAAGTTGGCGAGCCAACACAAAGCTACGAGGACTTTGCTGCAAGCCTTCCTGCAGACGAATGTCGTTATGCTATCTATGATTTTGACTTTGTTACCAAAGAGAACTGTCAAAAGAGCAGAATCTTCTTTATTGCCTGGTATGGCTGATATCTCCTTTACTGCATTCCTTTCATGTTTATCTTTCCCACCACTGCGGTCTTACGAAAACACCATTGCTTGAAGGTCCCCTGATAATTCAAGAGTCAGAAGCAAAATGATTTATGCCAGCTCCAAAGATAGATTCAAGAGAGAACTGGATGGATTTCAGGTAGAACTGCAAGCAACGGATCCGACTGAGATGGGGCTTGATGTCATTCGAAGCCGAGTTGGCTGAATGCTACATTGACCGATTCAGGTGAACAGCATCTACATCCATGCGTATCTTCTGTTCGAGGTGAACGAGTGTCTTGGTCGTGGTTTTGTGGTATATAATGTGTTTTGGATTTATGTTCTAAATGGTCTTTTGTATGAGTTCGAGCTATAATAAGCCTCTTAGTTTTTCAACTATATATACAATTTCATCCTTTAAGGGAGATATTGCAGCAGAATGCCATCAGATTCCAGCTGCTGTTCTACCTATGCTCCACAGATTATACAAGAGGATTGGATATCCGTACTCGAGCAAATATTGATGTAATTTTCCTTTTAGTGTTCTTTAGAAGCTGAGAAAACTATTTATTTGCTTGGAAATAATCGCCCTACTTTTTATATTTAATTTTTTTTTTTAGTTTTAGTTTTTCCTTAATAAATTCATGTTCTGGTTAATAAATGCGAAATCAAAGAAGAAAAAATAATTTCAAGGAAAAAGTTACTCATATTTAGCGTAAAATTTTAAGAAATGGGTAGAAATTTTAATAATAATTGCAACAAATAAATGAAAGCTAGTTTAATAATAATTAATTTAGTTAATTTAAACTAATTAATGCAAAACTAATAGAAAGGACTAAAAGTGGGCTTAAATCTTTAACTTGGTAGGCCCATTAAAAAATTAAATTCAAGTTTTTTTTTTTTAAAAAAAAAAAGGTGTTATTTTAAAATTTAGGACCAAATGATAATTGTTAGACGAACACGACTCTCCACAATGGTATGATATTGTCCACCTCTCATGGCTTTGCTTTGGGCTTCCCAAAAGGCCTCATACCAATGGAGAGTGTATTCTTAGATTATAGTGTATTCTTAGATTATAAACCCATGACCATTTCCTAAATTAACCGATGTGGGACTTTCATCATCCAACACCTCCCCTCGAACAAAGCACGCCTCCCCTTAATCGAGGCTCGACTCCTTTGGAGTCTTAGTCATTTTTGACTGCCTTCGTACCTTCGAGGAGGCTTGACTCCTTTTGGAGTCCTTTGTTCGACATTTAAGGATTTGTCAATCTATTGACACGGCTAAGTTTAGGGCATGGCTCTGATACCATGTTAGACGAACACGACTCTCCAGAATGGTATGATATTATCCACTTTTGAGCATAAGCTCTCATGGCTTTGCTTTGGGCTTCCCAAAAGACCTCATACCAATGGAGAGTGTATTCTTAGATTATAAACCCATTATAAACCCATGACCATTCCCTAAATTAACTGGGACTTTCATCATCCAACACCTCCCCTCGAACAAAGCACGCCTCCCCTTAATCGAGGCTCGACTCCTTTGGAGTGCAATATCATACCATTGTGGAGAGTCGTGTTCGTCTAACAATAATGACCCAATTAATTATCGTGTTCGTCTAACAATAATGACCCAATTAATTACCTTTTTTTTTACCAACTCGTTTAAATTTTAAAATCAGATGGATGCCGGACCGGGAGATGTTCCGAACAGGGCCACCAACGCAACGCCTTACCATCGTGTGGCGAGCCAAATGGGGAAGATTTTCACAGAAAAGCAAAAATCGTGATCGGCAGCGCTCTTCTCATCTCACATTCGATTTTCGCATCAAACAAACAGAACATTTCGAGCTCAATCGAGCTTAATTTAATCGAAACAATAACCCTTTTGATTGTCTTTACTCTCAGCCGGCAATTCTCCTGGGTTGACCTTACCCGCTTGGGTTCTTCTTATAAGGCGTTTCTACGAGCAAATCGTATTGAAACGCCGAGACCATGGATCTAGGCGAAGAGGCGCGATTGCTAGTTAGTAACGCGCCAATTCGAGCTACGGTGAATCATGCGAGAGATGTTCATGTTTTGAGCTTTGCTTTTCTCTTAATTTTCCTTGCTTATGGAGCTGCGCAGAACCTGGAGAGCACTGTTAATACAGTAAGTTTCTGTTTCTATTCACTCTATTTGTGGAGAATGTTGAAGAAATGGACGAGAAACCTTAATCAGTTCATGTTTTGTACGGGTCTTTTTTGGGGTTTGATTTGAGCTGAGTATTTTTGTTTGGCCGTGGAATTTCCATTCAGGAGGAGGATCTGGGAACTACCTCCCTCGGGGTATTGTATTTATCTTTCACGTTTTTCTCTCTGGTGGCTTCCTTGGTGGTTCGAGCTTTGGGGACTAAGAACGCTTTGGTTCTTGGAACTACTGGTTATTGGTTGTTCATAGCTGCAAATTTGAAGCCAACATGGTAAGATTTTTCATACTCTCAATCAACGTGAGCTTGAGAGTTCTTCTTCTAAATATACTGTAACTCAATGTTGAGGTGATTGTAAAAGTTGAGATGATTTTCCGAACACTTCTTTTCAGGTTTACAATGATTCCTGCTTCTGTCTACCTTGGCTTTGCTGCTTCAATAATATGGGTTGGGCAGGTGCAATGTAGTAAATATTTTCAGACTATTACAGCAATGGATAATCACAATAATTGCAGTGAACAAATCTGTGATATAATGAATTTCTCAGGGTACATATCTCACTTCAACTGCACGTAATCATGCGAGAAACAATGGCTTACATGAAGGAACTATCATTGGCAACTTCAATGGAGAGTTTTGGGGAGTATTTGCAAGTCACCAGGTGAATCCATGGATTTAAAGTTTATAAACTTTGGTTCATCAAGAAATGTTATCAACTCAACAGTAAGGTTCATACCTTTTTAAAGTGGTAAATTTCTGCAGGTCATTGGAAATATCATCTCTCTCGTTGTTCTGAAAAATGAAACAGTATGTATTCTCCTTTTATTTCCTTTCTCAAGGAGTTCCATTTTGGAGTTTGCACGTTCGATCCCGTTAAAAACAACTATAATGATGTTGAAGCAGGCAATTGCCGAATCATGTGATGCTGTTTGAGACCTTTGATCGCATCTATAGATTGAATCGTATGTTTTTGCCCCGTGAATGCTGCAGGATGGAAGAACCAATGGAACAACTATATTGTTCATTATCTTCCTTTGCATTGTGACGTTAGGTATAGCACTTATGTGCTTCTTAAGGAAGGAAGACAGTAAAGAAGAAGAACCCTCATTGTCCTCGTCCAGCCTACGCGCCTCTATATTGTCTTTGTCAAAGTCGGTTGTTGCTCCGCTAACTAACGTAAGAATGATCTTGGCCATTCCTCTGATAGGATATTCAGGACTACAGGCGGCATTTGTTTGGTAATTACTGAAACAAAGTAGAAGTATTGCATGCTCTTTGTTGCAGTAGACTATGTTTTTCCTGACTGAGCATTCAAGAGTTTCAAATACAGGGCCAAGTTCACGAAACAAGTCGTCACACCATCTCTTGGCGTGTCGGGGGTTGGTGGTGCGATGGCAATTTATGGAGCCTCCGATGCAATTGTAAGTATGCTTACTTGTTCCTTTTGTTCTATTCCTTCAACTGGTTACAATCCTAATTTGATTGGAGGAAATTGATGAACAAACTATATTGAAATATAGAGTAACAACTACCGGAAAAACCATGTGTCTGGAGGTACTACTTGGACCCTCAACTCTCGAGCTATCTCTCAAGTCCTAATTCATTATCCAAAATAAGGTCTAATTTCCCTCTTCCCCATTCCCTCTGTTTATAACCAAATACCTTCCCCCAACTAGTTACAAATATACCTTTAATACTCTAATTGTAACGGTCCAAGCTCACCGCTAGCAGATATTGTCTTCTTTGAATTTATCCTTTCAAGGTTTTTAAAATGCGTATGCTAGGAAAAGGTCTCCACACCCTCATAAAAAATGCTTCGTTTCCCTCTCCAACTGATGTGGGATCTCACAATCCAGGAGACCAGCGTCCTCGCTGGCACTCGTTCCTCTCTCCAATCGGTGTGGGATCTCACACTAATAGTATTCCTAATCTTATTCTAATACCACTCCCATCAGAAGTATGCATCAAGCTTGCAGAGTTAGATTATATATAATGGCTGTTCGTCCAAGTTAGTAGAGGGAAGTTACTTGAATACTTTGGCAATCTCTCTCTTTCTCATGATTTTGGCCATGGCTCATGACTCATGTCCTGCACATTCATATCTTCACTTCCAACTATTTATCTTTCATCAAAGCTATCGCTAGTAGAAAAAGTGAGATTTTAGTGTTTTTTGTTGTTGTCTTTCTAGTGTTCATTGGTTGCTGGTCGTCTTACATCTGGGCTCCCATCAATCACTTTCTTAGTATCTGGTGGAACTGTTGTTCAAGCCATTGTTTTTACTTGGCTTCTACTGGGACAGAGGTTAGCAGCATTGGAAAACCTTTTACTTTTAGGATTATTTTGTAATAAATACTAAGCCATTACAATTGAAAGCAGCGAAACACTTGGCGCTGTATACCTGCTTCTCATATCAGCCTTACTTGGGATTGGTGATGGAGTTTTCAACACACAGCTGAATGCTCTGATCGGAATACTCTTCAAACATGACACGGTACTCATTCATCCTTCCTTGCTTTCCCAAGATCGGAATACTTTTAAGTCTCTCAACATGTAACAATTTCACACAATCTAATGCCATCCCATTGTGTTCCTCATATTATGTTGATTGTTTCTTAACAAAAAGTCACTCAATCCTGGGTTTCTTAAAATGAGTGTTATGTTTCGGTTCACAGGAAGGAGCCTTCGCCCAGCTGAAGGTCTGGCAGAGCGCGACCATTTCGGTCGTCTTCTTTCTCAGTCCATACATTTCGATGGACACAATGCTGGTGAGTATACTTTCTGTTCTTTGCCTCTCATATGTTTGTTTTCTGACTTTAACTGTTCGGGTAGAGAAATCATTCTCTTCAACATTCTAATGTAACGTCTACACACATAATGTGTGTGCCTACATTTATGTTATTGCTGCGAAACAAATATTCCAAACATGTCTTAATTCAAAGAACTCGGATTCAATTCATATTTTCCTTATTAGTTGTCACTCGATCAAAAAGATATAGAAACCTCAAATTTGCTGACTTTATGAGGTATAGATAACCTTCCCATAGACTTTTATTTTATAAAGAGAGTAAAGGGGCGGTACAAATCTGCCTCGTTTCTTTTGATGGAATTTAAAATACTAAATGACTTTCTTTTCATAAAAACATGAACAAAATATCCTTTAATAGTTTTGATAACATAGCATGCAACTTGAATATTCAAACAATTGTACGATTATATTTAAACAACACACTTTAATATTGTTGACTTCTAACTTGAAGCTCCGAAGCCACTTCTTTTCATACTTTAGAAATTGAACTAATCAAGTCCTCGCTGAAGTTCCAAAGTTTCTTTGCAAGTGCTTCGTCTCTAGCATAGGAGCTTGGTCGCTTCTCGTTGTTGTCCAAAAAATATTTCCCACTCACTCCCTTCAAGTTCGGGTGGAGTGCCACATAGCATGTTGTTGATGCGCCCTAAAACAAACATTGTGATTTTTTCATTTCAAGACTTATACCTCTTCTAATGTAATAGGCTAATTGGTATCTTTAAATAAATACCCCTGAAACTATATTATTTTCGTTATTTCCGAAAATAATCAAACCAATACATTAAATAGAAAATTTTAATTAAAAAATTGGAGAAAATTACACTATAAAATAAGAAATATAAGAAGAAGAAGAAACAATTGGTTTAATGTACCTGGGGGACATTCTTCCATATAAAGAAGGTGAAAACCCGCAAAAGCCCTAGAGGGATCAAGAAACGAAGATGGGTAAGTGACGACATGTCGTCAAAGTAAAAAAAAAAAAAAAAAAAAGGGATTCGACATATCGTACGCATTAGAAGCTTAGAATGCCTCATAAGGGGAGTCATTATCAACCCCGGATGCACCGCGTTCGCCATTATGTTCACGCCCTCTTCCTACAACCACCAATAATGTTTTCGATTGTTTTATTAATTATTTAATACCATTTTCATTACTAACAAAAAATAATAATAATAATAATAATTTTCTAATATAAATTTGGATAAAAAATTACTTGAAATCGACGAGTGAGCTCCTTGGTATGTAAAATGTTGGCTAACTTAGATTGCCCATACGCCCTCTTATCGGAATACCTATAAAGTAATAACTGATTTTTATAATCGCATCCAAATAAATAAATAAATATATAAAATTTGAAAGACAAAAAATACCCCTTCTTTTCATTGATTTTGTTGAAGCGAATTCCATGGGCATAAGTGTGGACATGAGCTATAGATGATAAATTGACGATTCTACCCTCAATTCCTGTGCTATTTGCAGTGTTCTTCATTTTCTCGAGAAGAGCGTTTGTTAACAGAAAATGACCTAAAGAAAATAATTAAATAATTAAAGTCTTAATTAAGTTTATATAAATTAAATATAAAAATTAGAGGTATTTTTGATGTTTATATTACCAAGATGGTTGGTGGCAAACTGCATCTCTATCCCATCTTCAGATAGTTGAAATGGGCAAAACATAACACCAGCATTGTTTCTGAAATTAAACATTTAAAAAGATTATTTAATTTTTTTTAAATATTTCAAAATTATTCTTCGAATACAAATATTTTATCACGTCCAACAAAACATTGACGTGATAGTTACTCATGTCATAATTTAATTTGTCGTTCAACGGGCAATTTTGAAATATATATATTTTTTAAATAATAATTCGGGCTAAATAAAAAGGATAGAAAGGAATTTACATTAAAATGTTGAGAGGGAGATTGAGAGCAATGAAATTTTGAGCAAATTGTGTTGTGGAACTGATGGATGAAAGGTCGAGTTCGAGAACATCCAATTTGGCAGATGGATTTTGTTGAAGAATTTGTTGTTTTGCTTTATTTGCTGCCTCTACGTTTCTTGCCCCTATAATCACATGTGCCTTTCGCATCACTAAAACTCGTACTGTTTCTAGTCCGATCCCGCTCGCTCCTCCTACAATAAAACTATCATATCTCAGTTTCGTAATAACAGTTTATTTTTTATAAGGGTGTTACAAATAGTATTAAAGTTAGATACAAAACCAGTGTGTTAGTGAGGACACTAAGTGTAACAACTCAAACCCACCGCTAATAGATATTGTCCTCTTTGGACTTTTCTTAGTAAGTTTTTACTCACACTTCAGTCACAATAAGGTGGATTTAAAAGGTCAATTTTTAAGGTTTTAAATTTTAATTTTGAAGTAAAAGATTTCCTACTTTTGATTTGAACTTTAGAAAAGTTGACTTTCAGAAGACTTGGGAGAGATCCAACAAACATGGAAGTTTAATAAATCCTTTCAAAATAATATAAATAAAAGAAGGAGAGAAAGAGAAGTGACCGGTGACAATGACTGTAAGGCCGCTGGCGTCGATCCCTTGGGTGACGTCCTCCGCCGTAGATGCGGATCCGAAGCCGCTGAGCCCCGGGCATCCAGTGATTAAGGAAATGAACGACATCGAGTTCTTTCAAGAAACACACCAACAGTTTTCCCAGCCTTGATTTGTCGACGGAAGCGGCGGAGGCGGCGGCGGCGGCGGCGTAATAAAAAAAAGAAAGAGGAGATAAATTTATAGAGCGTTTTGGAGGGAGGAGGACGGGAAGGGATGAGGGAGGTAAATTTAATGTGATGGGTATTTGACATAGTAAATGGCATGCTGTTTGGCTCAACCATTTTTTAAAAAACTTCAATACCCGCCCCCCAATAATTCATATTTAATATTCATCAACAACTTTTTCTTCTCATTCAAACCTTAAATTAATAACTATATCCTCATCTCATTTCTACAAAATAACATTTAAAACTAAGAAATAAAAATAGAAAATTGTTGGAATTCATATTTAATGCTATCAAATTTTTTACTAAATTCAATAAATCACAATTAAATATAATTTGTTGCATTGTACTTTTTTTTTTCTTTTAATTATGTAAAAATATGCTTTGCTAAACTCTCTCATTTAATTTATAAAATTTTCATCTATTAAAATATATTATTGTAATTGGCTAATACAAGTTATATTATTGTACCCTACGCATTAATAAAAAGAAAATAACTATAATTATTCCCAATAATTTAAACACGACATGGAAGGACATCAACCAACTTCACATTATTGATCAATTTTTCATATTCATTTTTTACTTTTTTTTTTTTAATTTTAAAAAATCTTTTTTTTTTCAGTGATAATTTTGAGGTTCCCATTAAACGGCTTTCTCCTCCAACGTGTTATTTCCTCCCTATAATTTATTATTATCATAGCAATTTATGTGCCGAAAAAATAGATACATTTTTTAATAAAATTTAAAATTTGTTTCACTTCCATGCATATTAAATATTAAATTCATTGATGTTTACCTTCACCTTTTTATTATAAGCTTTTAATTTAATCATTTAAACATTTATTAAAAAAAACGTAATTTCATATGTGTTTTTAAAAATTATAAATAATGTTTGGCATGATATTGATAAGAAGATCCCAAGAGTAGTGGGATAATACATTGGGCCAATTTTCTTCAACGAGGAAAAAAGCCCAAGAGCAAACGGCGTACTTGTCAGCCCATTTAGTTGGTCTGGTGGGCTCAGGCCCATTTTCGATGGATAACTTTTGTATGGAAATGGGCCTAACTAAGCCCAAGTATTAAACAGAGGAACCTTCGACCGAAGAAAATGAAAATTTAAATAATAAAAAAAAGAAAAGATTTGAAGATAGAAGGAACGGTGAAATTAAAAACATTATTTATAGCGCGAGTGGATTGCATATGAATTCCTCTTTCGTTCCTTATTGTTGGAACGAACCGCTAAAAAGGAGGAGGTTTCGACGATTTGTGGAGGGTGTCGGTGTGTCTCGCCGAAACAGGAAGAGGTTGAAAGCAACGAAAGAAGAAACTGATTTGAATTTGAGGTTGCGCTTTAATCGCCCGCCCTCCTTCCCTTACATTATTCAACAGTTTTTTGTTTACATTTTTCTCAGATTTTTCTTCTGTTTTCGGATTTTCCGATTACCTTTCTTTTTCTTTAGTTTTATTCCTCGAATTCATTTGGATCTGATCTAAATGGCGGCGTCACGGCGGCTACGGGACCTTCAATCACGGCCGGGGAATAAGGTCTGTGTTGATTGCTCCCAGAAGAATCCGCAATGGGCGTCCGTTTCCTATGGCGTTTTCATGTGTTTGGAATGCTCCGGGAAGCACCGTGGCCTTGGTGTTCATATATCTTTTGTTAGATCCGTTACAATGGATTCTTGGTCTGAGATCCAGATCAAGAAGATGGAGGCTGGGGGCAATGAGCACCTCAACGCCTTTCTTGCGCAATACGGAATACCTAAGGAGACGGATATTGTGACCAAATACAATTCTAGTGCGGCTGGAATTTACAGGGATCGAATCCAAGCCCTTGCCGAGGGCCGATCTTGGAAGGATCCACCGGCTGTGAAGGAAAACATTGGAGTAGGAAAATCGAGGCCTCCATTGGCGCAAAGTGCTAGTGGAGGAGGAGGCGGCGGAGGGAGTAAGGTGAACAACGGAGGTTGGGATAATTGGGATAGCGACGACAATTTTAAACCGTCCAATGATATGATGAGGCGTAACCAATCGACTGGCGATGTTCGAGGCATGGGCGGCGGAGGAGTGCATTCCAGGTCCAGATCGACCGAGGATATTTACACACGGTCTCAATTGGAGGCCTCTGCTGCAAATAAAGACAATTTTTTCGCTAAGAAGTTGGCCGAGAATGATTCCCGGCCCGAAGGACTTCCGCCATCACAAGGAGGAAAATATGTTGGATTTGGCTCCTCCAACAATTCTGTACCATCTCCAAGAAATGATCCCCATAGTGACGTTTTCTCTGTTGTTTCTCAGGTATTATGAAGATTCTTCTGTTTGAATTTTCATTTAAGCTTGCTTGCTTGATCAATTGATGCATCGTTTCCTTTCAGGGATTTGGTAAATTATCTCTGGCTGCTGCCTCTGCCGC